TCTTCTATTTATAGAAGAAAGGAAGCTGCTGTGTAAGCTGCTACTGCAAGCTGCTGTGTAAGCAGCTACTATACCAGATATGAATAATCTTCTACTGAGAGCAATGTTTATCCATAAGGAGTACTGAATGGATAAACTTATTATACCCGGTATGGATAATCTTCTACGTATGATAATGTTTATCCATAACCGGGTACCGAAGTGATAAGCTTCTTCAGGAAGCTTATTTCCAATAGAGTACTAAATAGATAAACATATTTACGGTGGAGTCCCATATGGATAAGCTTCATTTACAACCGAGTACTAAATGAACATCCATAATATAATATATTTATAAAAGAAGATAACTTAATCCTATTATATTTACCCTTGCCAATTTGCAAGTAAAATTTCTGGGTTTTATATTTCGCTTTGGAATTGGATCTTATTAGTTCTTCACATAAAAGGAGAATAAAAAAACATGCTTTATTAAAACATTCCATTGCATCGACCTCGCTTGCCGCTGATCGCCGATTCTCTCTACTCCAATTCCACTTTTATTCCGGCGGAGTCCCGGCGAGATCTATCATCAGGTCATCTATCTTAATCCAAATCGATGACTTCTATTGCAATTTCTCATTGATTGTGCGATTAGGAACTGTTGTTTCGTTACAAATACTGGACCTTTTTTGAATCAAGGAATTTGATTTTGCTTTAATTTTGATCTTCTGAGACCAGATGCTGAATTCTATTGTTGAGTGATATAGTTTTATTTATGTGTTGAGTTAAACTACGTATGGATTTTGGCTACTTGTTAGAATTAATGGTGCTAATGCTACTTTGATTCGAATAAAGGATATGAACATCAGCCTCAGAGTTGAATGTTGCTCTAGATTGTATTATTGTTTTTGATAAAGAAAGAAATTTTAATTAATAAACTATTCTTTACAGATAATTTACTGTTACTGCTCTTATGTAACTGTTTTGTCATCTATTATGGTGGAATGTAGACTACTGGGACAGTATTAATGCTGGGGTTAAAGGAAGATATCAGGATAGAGGCAAAACCTGCAAAACCTGTTCTGATTTGGCTTTCATTAAAGTGTTCCTCCACGAGATTTAGCTACTAGAGACTTCTTATAGAAAAGAAAAACAAAAAAGAATTTAGCTACTAGAAACAGATTCTCTGCGCAGTAGGCAACTAAAGGAAATGCAACTGGTATTACCCTTTGCCCTGTCCCCTCTTTCTTGGAAGTATTCCTTATCTGCTGTCAAACTCGTCGGACTGCTCATTGACAAAATGATAAAAGCTTCAGGTGAAGTATTTAACTACTTAGACAGAGCTGTTTTTCTTCTCCTTTGTCCTTATCTTTCTTTTTTTGCCTTTTTTTCCCTTTTGCATTCTTGCATTGTACTTTAACTCTGCAAATATTTTGCTTTCCTACTATTTTCGGCTGATGTATAAGTCTTGCATTGCTTTTTCTGTGCTAATATAATAATGACATGCCTTTTTGTTTGTTTTGGTGGAAAAACATCAGGAAGCGGTCCTTTGTGACCATGGGCACCGAATACCCCAATCGACCAACCTTTCCCTCAAGGCCTGCTACTACACCTTTTGGTGTTCCGCAGAGTGCAAGTCCTTTTCAATCATCTGTTCCAGTAGTTGGATCTGATGCTTCTGCTTTTCGGCCTGCTCCTCCTACTTCTTCTCCAGCTATGTCATCTCCGTCTTCATCTGGCCCCATGGTTGGACCAGGGACCTCTACTTTTAGACCGATGCCGCCCGGTATGCCACCTCCAACATCGGCACCTCCATATGGGCTGACAGGCACTGGCCCTTTCCAGCGTTTCCCAGCACCGCAGTTTCCTTCTACAGCTCAGGTACCACCTCCACGCACTTCAGTGCCGGGACAGCCTGTTTTAGCACCCCCAGTTAGACCTGTTTCAGGTCCTTTCTCACCACCTCCTGTTGCCCATCATCCACAAATCCAACCTCCTCCAGTTCCGATGGGATCTCCCCCTCAAGGTGCAAGTACACTGCAGCCTAGACCAAATGTTCATCAGGCATCCATACCATCCCAGTTTTCTGCTGCCAGAGCAACCATGCAGCCGTCTTCTCCTCCAGCTAGTTTAGTTTATCCTGCTGCTAGACCTGGCTTTCAATCTTCTTTTCCTGGGTATATAAGTCAGCAGCCTTCAGGGTTTACACAGGCTCCACCTAGACAATCAGTATCATATCCTTCTCAGCCAGGCAGCTATGTCCCACCAGTGCCAGCAGCTTCTACCCCATATCTTGCTCAACAAGGAGGCTATGCAGCACCACCACCTCTAACATCTCAACATCCAGGATCGACGCCTCCTATGTCAGCTATTCAGGGTTTGGTGGAAGACTTCAGTTCCTTTTCTATTGGGTCTGTTCCAGGATCATTTGATTCCGGCCTTGATTCTAAAGTCTTACCGAGACCAATTGAAGATGACCCTGAGCAGAACGTTTTGTCTGATATGTATCCCATGAACTGTAGTTCTAGATTTTTGAGGCTAACAACTAGTGGCATTCCGAATTCTCAGTCTTTGGCTTCAAGGTGGCACTTATCTCTTGGAGCAGTTGTTTGTCCTCTCGCCGAGGCTCCTGATGGGGTTTGTATTCATAACATAGTACTCTTTTATATTCTTGATTGTTACAGTTTTTAGGGCTTCATATGAATCTCACTTGCTCTACGTGCAAAATATACGTCATGCAGGAGGAAGTTCCTGTAGTTAATTTTGCCCCAACTGGTATCATCCGCTGTAGAAGGTGTCGCACTTATGTAAATCCTTATGTGACATTTACTGATAGTGGAAGAAAGTGGAGATGTAACATATGTGCATTGCTTAATGAAGGTAAATAATGTTGCTTCATTTCTTGAGTTTTTAACCAGTTTATTGTCGGAGCTCTCCTTTTGGTTTTTACTTAAAAGTTTCAGTAATATGTAGCTAGAATAGTCAAATTCCTCCTTGAATATTCTGTTGCATTTCTGATTAGAAGTTTTGTTACTTCCTAATTTGTGGGTAGGATGGGAGGGGGTTGGGAGAGAGAGGGAGGGAGGTGGGTTAATGTTCACGAAGCTGTCATTGCTTCCTAACAAGTAACTTACTTACAACTTACAAGAGCAAATGCGTCCCGATCAGTGGCGTACGCAGGATTTTTCATAAGTGGTGTCACTATTTTTAGCAATAGGCCTGTAACAGTCAAAAAAAATAATTGTGGAGCCAAGGGAATTCGAACCCAAGACCTCTCACATCAAATTTGAAGGTATCAACCACTAGATTATTGAGCTATTTTGATGCAAGTGGTGTCACTTTTAATGATTTTATCTTGTATTTCTGTTTTATTTATTATTTTTATATACATATGTAGTATAATTTTTCGACGAAGCGGTGTCCCGTGACACCGCTCGGGTCCATGTAAATCCGCCCCTGGTCCCGATTTTATAAACAACCTTAACCTTGATTAACTAATTGGTATTGACCCCACTTAACTTTAAACCTAAACTATACTATCTTATTAATGAATGAAAACTTCTATGTAGACCTTTCTTTCTGCTCATTGCATCTTTATCAGTCTATCTTCTACTCGTTACTCACCTTTCATTCAAATTGCTGCTAAGAGAATTTTGATACTCCACCATGCCCTCTCTGATTGTGACTGCTGAAGAGCTATCCTGGTTTTAATGTGCCTTTATGGTATTGTTTTCATTGCCATATATGCACAAGTTAGCATCCTCCCAGCTATGTTGTTGTGCTTTTTGTCATTTTTAAATAATCTCGCGGATTCTCATTGCTACCATTGCATATTGAGGATGTAGAATGTTGTGTCCTTTTTTGAAATGCATGGGCTCATTTAATCCTCTTTATGTCTAGTTCCTGGTGAATATTTCGCCCATTTGGATGCCAGTGGCAGAAGAGTCGATTTGGATCAAAGGCCTGAACTTACCAAAGGTAGCGTGGACTTTATTGCTCCGGCTGAGTACATGGTCCGGCCTCCGATGCCACCCCTGTACTTTTTTCTCATCGATGTATCTGTGACTGCTGTGAGAAGTGGAATGCTTGAGGTAAGAACTTCTGTTCTTTTAGTTATTGAGCTTCCAGTCTGAATCTACCTGCAGCATAGGACAAATCAATTCAAAATATGTTCAATTATGGCCAGTATACATAGAAGTTGCCTAACTAGGAGATGATTCTGTATGTGTCCATTATCATGTGGCTTGTTGATGCAACTCTTGCTGTTACCACCTTATGTTAGAGTGCTTTTGGGAAAGCAGTCGCATAGATAAGCCTGAATGTGTATACAAATGAGCATGAGAGTCTCCGTTCATTTGGTTGTTTCATTCGATATTCCTTTTAGTCAGAATCAGTTGCCTGCCTTGTTAAACTTCTGTTTGTGTTGACTACTAGAGCAATTTTTTGTAGAATAATCTGTTAAATTGCAAGTTTATCTGGTATGCCCTTTATAATTGGTTTATAAATCTATGTCAGGTTTTAGCACAAACAATCAAGAACTGTTTGGACAGCTTGCCTGGATATCCCAGAACACAGATCGGGTTTATAACTTATGACAGTACAGTACACTTTTACAACATGAAGGCAAGTCAGCTGAGTAAAATTAATCTTATCACATAATATCAATATCCATTTACTGTTAAATAACTAGACTCTCTTCTTCTTGGACCAGTCGTCCTTCACTCAACCTCAAATGATGGTCATGTCAGATCTCGAAGATGTATTTGTGCCATTGCCAGATGATCTCCTTGTCAACTTGTCAGAATCAAGAACTGTGGTCGATGCATTTCTAGACAGCCTTCCCTCAATGTTTCAGGATAATGTAAATGTGGAGTCAGCTTTTGGTCCAGCTCTTAAAGCAGCCTTCATGGTTATGGTGCGCGAACTTTCTATGCTGTTCACATGATTTTATGACTTTCAAGTTCTTGGTATCAAAGAAGTTTTTCCTTTCCATTATGTAAAATCTCCTTTTTTTTTCCTTCTGTTGATTCACACTAACTAATATCGTCTCTCTGCTTCCAGAGCCAACTTGGCGGTAAATTGCTGATCTTTCAAAGCAGTCTTCCATCACTTGGTGTTGGCCGCTTAAGACTGCGAGGAGATGATCTTCGTGTTTATGGAACTGATAAAGAGCATACATTGAGAGTCCCTGAAGATCCTTTCTATAAACAGATGGCTGCTGATTTCACTAAGTATCAGATAGCAGTCAATATATATGCTTTCAGTGACAAATATACTGACATAGCTACATTAGGTAATTGAACTTTCACAATAGAGGACATCTGCTCTAAAAATTTAAACTGTGTTTTATTTTAAGCTGAAATACTCGTTTCATTTTTAATTGTTCCTTTTGATGAGTCAAAATTTTCATTACTAGCATCAAGTCGCTGTCAAAAGTTAGTACAGATTGTTTGTTTGTCTCAAGCGAAGTTGTCTACTGGCATCTAATCAAGTTGCCAATTGTCTATAGAACACGGTATTCTCTCTTTACACCAAATTAAGAAGTGAAATATGAAGGATCTTTTGATGCCTTTTACATCATTGACGCACTCTTTCTTCCTCATTCCATAAGCACCAAAAGTGACATAGTGGTGATGTTCCAGGCTATCTCTCTCTCCACTATTGATCCTTTATAATCTGTAGCTCGTGTTTCCCTTCCCCCGCTTTCGTTGGATGACACACTTGATTTATTATAAAGCTTTGGGTCCCCAATTGTGTAGTCAACCTGTGAGCAACGACAGATGATTAGTATCCTTTCTGATTCCTTGAACACCAACCCACAANATGCCCAAAATTCTCTCACTGGATTCTATGAGTGTCTTGCTTTATCAAACATAATCTTGTTTCCATAAAGGGACCTTGAGCTGAAGGCAATCAGGGAAGGCCAGCTTAGTGACTACTGCAAGGAACTTTGATGTTCTTTCAGTTTGAAGTTCACTAGTAGTATAAGCAAAACTAGAATTAGAGGAACAAATCACTTACAGAGTTAACTGTGAAAACATATGTCGTGCTTTACACTATTTGGTATACTGAAACCTTCTGTATCCTCCGTATCGCTATAGTCAAGGTTCAATTTTTTTTATTATAAGCTACACATAAAGGGAGTTCGTAATCTTGGTTACCACAGTTGGTAATGTCTAGGTACGTATGCCTCATGAAATATTGGTGTATAATTTTCTTCAATCATGTTGTAGGGACGCTTGCGAAGTATACAGGTGGTCAGGTATACTACTATCCAAGTTTTCAAGCTTCCATTCACAAAGATAGATTTTATCATGAGTTAACCCGAGATCTTACAAGGGAAACTGCTTGGGAGTCTGTCATGCGTATAAGATGTGGAAAAGGTAATCTTGCTATATTACTCTAACCTAGAAGCTGGATTCCTCTTCCACGTGAAATAAAGGGCGAGCTTGTGGACTGTATGTTGGTAATGGTCATTAAGGTGTTTTTTTATGGTGCTTTCAGGTGTCCGTTTTACAACTTATCATGGGAACTTCATGCTGAGATCCACTGATCTAATAGCACTTCCTGCTGTCGACTGTGATAAAGCATATGCAATGCAGTTATCCCTTGAAGAAACACTACTCACTTCCCAGACAGTATTTTTCCAAATTGCTTTACTGTATCCTTTAGCATGAAATGTTGTTTTGATCTCAATTCACTTCATGTATTTTTCTTGAGTACTCCTGCCCCCCCCCCAATATTTTATAGAAGCATTAGTTTCCTACCTTTTATATATCTTTTAGGTAATGAATGAATTTTCCCGTGACGAATTCTACTTGACTTGGTTTCCTGGAACACTTTCTTAACGATTAAAAGATACACATCATCTTCTGGAGAAAGGCGCATTAGGGTACACACGGCAGCAGCACCTGTTGTTTCAGATTTAGGAGAAATGTATCGCCTGGCTGATACTGGTGCCATCATTTCTCTTTTTACCAGGCTTGGTAAATTTTGCTATACTTTTCCTGTATTTGGTCATTTGACTTTTAAACCTTCGCCTTTAGTATTTTTAGGTCTCTCACGCTGAAGTTCTTGTCTTTCAGCAATTGAGAAAACTCTGACCTCTAAATTGGAAGAGGCTCGAAATTCTGTTCAACTCAGGATTGCGAAAGCTCTTAGAGAATATCGAAATCTCCATGCCGTGCAGCATCGTGTGGCTGGAAGGATGATATATCCAGAATCTTTGAAGTACTTGCCATTATATGGATTAGCTTTATGCAAATCAACAGCCCTCCATGGTGGATTTGCTGATGCTCAGCTTGATGAACGATGTGCTGCTGGATATACCATGATGGCTTTGCCCGTTAAAAGATTGTTGAAGCTTCTGTATCCTAAATTGATCCGTATAGATGAATATCTTCTAAGAGTATGCATCTGACAGCCCTTCCATATTGTTGCTCATTATGCTTTAAAGGTTCTAAAACATAATAATTTTCTATTTCTAGAAACCATCTTCACCTGAGGAGTCTAAAGACATCTTGAAAGGGATTCCACTTACAAAAGAGAGCTTAGATCCCCAGGGTCTCTATCTCTACGATGATGGTTTCCGGTTTGTCATCTGGTTTGGTAGAATGCTTTCTCCTGATATGATCAAGCACTTGCTCGGAGAAAACTTTGCTGCTGACTACTCTAAGGTAAGCTTTTTAGATCACATCTTCTCACAACCATATTAAATAGGTTCCATTTGGTGCTGAGTGGACCAAAAAGTGGGCCATCTGAAATTGAATGTGCACTTTTACTACCAACTACTTTGGTACTTATTTTGGTTTGGTTTAACTGGTAATATCTGAGTAGACTTTTGACAATGGATAATAGGATGTAGGTAGCCAAAAGCAATGTTCTCATTTTATTTTTCAAAGTGGTTCCAGGGAGCGCATGTCGGAAGTGTCACCATGTATAGATGTTGCTGATTAAAAGGATATAAAATCTCCATTCAACTTCACCTATACCTTTTCACCTATACCTTCTTTTTTTATTGAACAAGCCTCCTTTTTTAATTTTACATGGATCATAAGTTATATGTTTCTTTATTGTTTATAGTCTTCTGTTTACTCTATGCGACTAATTTCTGTAGCATCATCCCTCAGGCATTTGTATTTAGGGTTAGTTCCTTTAATCAACACTGGCCTTTAGGTAAGTGCTGGAAGCTACTGCTAGAGCCCGCCCCCTTATGTAGAAAGAGCACGCAATCCTTTATTGGTCCCCACTAGGTTATAGATGAGTGTCTCCAATTCTTTTTTGCTTATACTTTGTCATTTTTCTCCTAAAGGTTCTACTCTTGCCATCTTCTAAATTTTGTCTTCTTTATTGTAGCTCTACCCCTGTTGTTATTCTCACTGATTTATTGTCATTTTCTTTAATACCGCGTCATTCAAAACTGTAGAATCCTTAACATTTGCCTAATTCTTGCTCTCCTTTTAGCCTGCATGTAAACAGAATTGCTAAAACGGGATTGTTTCTGGTTTAGACCTCTATATATTTGCTTTCCTTGGATGATGAAATTCTCTACTAGTGTGTTGGTGTGTTCAGCTCTAGATGTTATCATCTTAACTTTATTCACTCCTATGACCAATGGAGCAGAGTACTGGATGGGACTTTGAAACTCAGGGTTAATATTGTGTGCCTTGTCTACTATATTAACAGAATTGTTCATGCTTAAGGCAGTCTTTTGACATATTTTGGGATTTCTCTTTTATTTTTGTTCCTAGATATGGATGAGTTGTACTTTAGAAGTACTTTAGTTGGTTTGCACGTTCTGGTTTGTGATTCTCAGAACAGGATTTCTTTCCCTTTGTGCAAGTGTATAATGAAGGCCCAAAGATTCAAAAACTTCCCATATGAGTTCCTTTCCCTGAAGGTGTAGAAACTTCCCGTATATTTGCTTTTCGGAGCATACAGTAGTCAGCAGCACTAGCTAGCATGTGGCTAGGTTTGCAATTAAAGAAGAGCTTCATTCATAACATCATCTTCTCTGGTGAAGGCACATACTCCGTCAATATCTTGAGTGCTCAGATCTGTCACTTCCCTGAAATGCTGAGATCCAAGTAGTTGGAATGGAGAGCCAAGTCGATAACGATATGTTGTCCAAAAAATAGCAAGTGCACACAATTTATGGTTCTTTAGCATCTACACTTTATTGACAGTGTGGTATGTCACTTAAAGAAGCACGTGGAAGATAAGAAATTTAGACCCACATAATGATTTTGGCATTTAAAAAGAGATAACTACTGCTCTTTGGTTGCCTTGCAATTTTAAATTTAGTCTGGATCTTTGAAAGAGATCCCTTGATGGAGATAGGTCTTAAATCTTTGTTTGAGTAGTTCACATCTTCATTTTAGAATAAGTTTGTTTACAGGTGATATGATGTTCACTGGGAATTATTAATGAGTTTACTTATAGGGCATTCTTTGCTTATGAAACCCTTAAAAAAGGGTGCATGGTCCTCCCTTCTTCCGAATCTAAGTGCCCCATTTTCTTTTCGCACAAATATTAAGTCATGAGTCGAAGTGTTATTTTTAATAAAAGTTGTGAAAAAGTTGGAGATTAGGTTGAGTTATTGAGGAATTTGAACTGTGCTTCACTAGCCCTCTGGGATTTCTCAGTTATCAAAAAAACAAAGAAAGATCTGGTCTTCGGTCTACCATTACTCTTTTGATAATAAGGGTGGTTCCATTTCTTGCTTATCCCCCACCCCCCAAAAAAGGTATTTGATAGTGCAGGGAATGACTTCACCTGTTTGGAGAGAGGACACAACTTAGGCACAACCTGAGTTAAGACAGAACTTGGGGCATTTAATTTGGAATAGAGGAACAATGTTTTGACTCAGCTGGTCTCTTTGCTGATTCAACCCTATGGCCTTCACTACAACAACTACGCCCCAGTCCCAAACAAGTGAGGGTCTGCTACACGAATCGTCACATCTCTGTTTAAGCTCTTATGTCATTGTCATACCAAATAAACTCTATGACCTTCACTGTGTTGATATTTGAATTCAACTCCTGCAAACTTTCTGCTTGTTTTGCAGTCTCTAATGTTTGTTTCTTCTTTTCTATTGAGAACCAGGTTTCACTTCAAGAGCTAGATAATGAAATGTCAAGAAAACTGTTGGGCTTGCTTAAAAAGCAAAGGGAGAGTGACAGATCATATTATCAACTATGCCATCTTGTGAGGCAAGGTGAACAGCCTAGAGAAGGCTTCTTCTTGCTTGCACATCTAATTGAGGACTCAGTTGGTGGCTCTAATGGTTATCAGGATTGGATTCTGCAATTACACCGGCAAGTCCAGCAAAATGCATAATTTAAGGTAATGAGTAATGACAAGGATTTGCTGGTCTTTTTTGTATTCATGAAATGGTTTAACGATGACGGAATGTCGGTTTTGTGTGAACATAAATCAACCAATCTATTTATAAATGTCATCCTGTCTCTCCCTTGAGGGAGTGGTAGAGAGAGAGGTCGATAAGTGGATGAAAATTTGCGAGAGCATTCATGTGTGAAACTCTGCGAGTGTGATAATTTCAAGTATTTAAAAGAAAGTTGGGTCACTAATCATAAGCTAGTAACATGATTTCAGTAATACTTGGTCTATGTTTTTAATTTTTTGTTTTCCTTTATATTTCATGGGCTCAACTCAGGATTTGAATGGTTTTGGTACTAGTTTCCTGATTGTGAACAATATTGTCATTTGCCAAGGACAGTTTTAAAGGAGCTGCTTCATTTTTTGTTTTCGTTTTTCGATTTTAAATGGATCAAGTGTAGAATGTCAGTGGCTCCCAACCAAGTGAAGGTAATTTTCTTAGTGAAACACCTATTTATGGCACATTCAGGCATATATTATCAGTTCTGACTAATCTCTTGGGAGTATCCATTAATTATCAAAAGAAAAAGAAAACCTCCAAGTAATCATTTTTCTATGTCATGCATGGTTACGATGTTACTCTGATTTCTTAAATCAGGAACCATAACTGTCATTTTTGGTTTTTTATTTTAAATCTCCCTATTATCTCTTCGTAGTTATATTTTTGCCGTGCATGCTAATCCATTGACTTCATCTTTTTGGTGGTTTCTAAGCTTTCTCTTTTCTGGTCTCTTCGTCGTTCCTTGTGTTATAGAAATTGTTTCATAACAAGAGTGGAGGGTGAATCTTTGTAATTGCATATCTGAAGGGAATTGAAAACAGAATAACTTAAGGTTTCCTGGTGAAGAGACTGCCCCTATGGATTTCTCCACTCTAAACCTAAAATTATGAGTTTTAAGGTTGCTTGCTGATTGCACACTTCCTATTTTAGCAGGATTCCCAACTCTTCACGCTTTTATGGTCTAGAGTGCGGATTCCAGAATAAGTTGGTCTAGTTGTCAGCTCCAACTATGGATGGTTCATCCAATGAGCAAAAGCTTCCATGGAAGAAATCTGCTGTTAGTGTTAATTGACATAATTGATTGCTGCGCTACCTGATTTGCCGTGTAACATTAGTTGAAGAACTAATATTTTCTCTCTTCTCATGTTGGGATCATTTCATACACCTGGACCAGTCGTCCATTAAGATGAGGAAGGGATATTAAGATTGTGCTCGTCCTTGTGTGCTAGCGCTGTCCCCTTTGGTTGGGGTGAACAACATGAAAGGAATGCTAATTAACTAGTATTTACTTTCATATGTTGGTCTGGTTAGAGTGGGATGAGATTAAATATAATAATATTGCAGTTAATTAAATTATTTTTTGGATCTTGTTGTGGGGATAGGGTGTGCCTTTTCAGTGGGATTTATTTGGACTTTTGTAGAGATCTTGTACATTGCATTTCTTTGCAATAATCCAATATTTGCTGCCCATAATGAATTTTTTGTTGAGCTGAAATGTAATGCGGATGGTTATTACTCTCTTTTTTTTTCTACGGTATTTCCCTTGGGATACATCTGCATCAATATTCAATAAGAAGGGTTTCATCTGATTATTTTGTTTTATTTTATTTTATTGGTTTTTGGAATCTTGGTGCTGTAGATATACAATCCAATCTGAACCAAAGTAAATTCTGTTTGGTTAGGATTTCTCAGTTTGCTTTTTCGGTTTTTGGTTTTTATCATTGGCAAACCGGAAAGAATTTTGTTATGCGTGAGATTATAACTACTACTAGTACTCAACTAAATGTGCCTATGTTAACACCTTTGTTATAGTGTCTTTGAAAATGGAGTGATATTCACGCGGCTGCCATGAAAATGGACCAAACAGTGGTTGACACTTATAAAAGAAAGCTTTTTTTCTTCTCCTCCCCCATCAATTTGCCGCCTTCAACTCCAATTTAAAAAAACTCCGACCACTAGCTGCAATTCTGCAACCACAGCCATTGGAGCTGGATATGGAAGCTTCGGTGCAGTAGCAATAATGAAGGAGAGGACAATATGACGATGAAGCCAAGCTTTTGGAGATAGGCAGTAGCTTTTCAAGTGTCGGTTAAAGTATCATGGAGTACAAATAACATGTTTCTAGAAAATAAAAGCTTTTATCAAGAGTCAAGACAAAGGAAAAGAGCATGCAGCTTTTCTCTTAATTACCTGCCACAGAACATCCTAGGACAAAGGCCGTGAAATTGTTCAGGTACTCTTGTGTTTCGAACAAGTAACCACCAAAGAGTTAATCCAACAAGAAACGTAATAAAAAAAACCAACATATTGCAATGTCGGTTGTATAATAGGATTGTTCCGACTCTTCTTCTAATTTTTCTGTTTTCCACTCTTCGTTTCCTTTGAGGTAAAACTAGAGTAGAGAATAACTTGAAGATAGGAGGCTTCATGCTCATTGAAAACTACTACCAAATAACCCCGCAACTCTTACAACATAACAAAGGGAACCTTATAATATAGTCCCATCTCCCATTGACAAACATGTAGCTTAATTAATATGGATCAATCTGAAAAAACATATAACAACTCTCCCAAGACCAGAACTTTGGACCATCTAAACAGAAGTCTTCAAGTCCTGAAGAAGGTTGGAGAAATCAAGTGGACATTTCACTGAAAGACAAACCTTCTCAAAAGCATAACATGTACGTAAAGTCCTCCATGGTTGCAAAAACAAGCAGCATGAAAGACATTAGTTATACTAGAAGCAACCAATATAAATGTTGATACAAAAAGAGTTGTACCACTAGGGCTCCGAGTAAAAAACCACGATACATATTTCTCTATCGGGCAAGGCAGCTTTGGAGGAATAAATACTTTAGCAGTAATTTTACTCATATCACCTCAAAAACAATATAGAAACATGTACAAATATTGTACAAATAAGATAGGATTTGCAAACGCCACACTGATCAAGGGAACCACTTTCATGTAGCCATAGATGCCAAGTCTAGTTCTTCATCAGAATCAATGACATCTTCAAAATCATAGTACGGATTTACCTGTCACAATAATTTACTTAATGTTATTACAAAATTCAACAGCAAGGAAGATGCAAGTAACTTTAAAGAAAATTTACTCTTTATTAGCGAAGGAACACCCCATGAATCCAGTTCAACAGAAGATAATGCTTCAAATTGTTCTATACCTTTGGTCTTGGAGTAACTGCTTCAAAACTACGGAAAACAGGGACGTCAAAATTAGGAGGTTCCAAAATAATGTATGCTCCTTTATTTCGGTATCTATCCTCTGTTGCCTGCAGTTACGAGCACAAACAAGAAAGATAAGTTTCTCCATTTGTACTGCAGCTTCCAGGTATGAAAATGGCATCAGATATATTTTAAACTTTTTGCATGCTGAATGCCTAAATTTAGTCTATTTTCATAGAACCTTAGGAAACTTGCAAAAAGTGTTGCATGTTTCTTAATACTCCTAGAAGTGACAATTGGTTGTGTTAACACCAAACTTGGGCAGGGACCTGAGCAAGCAATGTGGGCTTTATTTCCCTTTACCAGGCCGAAAGCATGAAAGATTATTGGGACTCCACCAAAAAATGGGCCAAGTACAGAGACACAGCCGGTTATGTCATTGGAAATTCAGTTTATAATATGACTAATCAAGCCCACAAACTACTCTTCAACATGCAACCGTGCAGACGAACAAAAAGTAGGGCAGTCTGTCATTAACTAGATCGTGCCAAGATTTTTGCATTAAATTGGGATACGTTAGAAAAGCGATCTAGGCACATAACAGCTAGCCTCGCACGTAGAACACTTTTGTAAAAATGGACACCGTCCAATCATCATAATAAATCAAATTATGTTCATTTCACTTTAAGCTTTCTTTACAACTTTCCTTACAAGCTTCCTTACAGCTTTCTTAGATATCTTTTTCGGTTAATGCTAGCCATACTTCAGATACTTCAGGTCTTTTTGCTATAAAAAGCATCACCAGAACTTCACCACCTGAAAATTTAGACTAGAACACTTTTAAGAAACTTACAAAATCATAGTCAAGGAGTATCCTTCTCTGCATTAATTGTCCGACTTCTAATTGGAAATCATTCGCTGACCAGTCCATAAATTTTCTAGCCAAAAGGATGCATATGAAAGATATGACTTCTGAAGAATGAAGTTCTTTATGCATGTTTGGTAAATATTGGTTGCCAAAGAACAAAGACACCTTGCAACTCATTATTACCCATTTCTACATCTGACTGATGCAATCATTGAAAGCACATGGCAGTAGATGATAAATGTTCCTAATATGCCATCAGTATGCTCAGGCACATATTTTCACGAAAAGTAATTCAGGATTAACAAAGCTTACAAGCATTTACATATTCTATCAACAATAACATAGTGTAACGGCACTACCCTTCTACAAGATGGCTGAAAGTAAACACGACAAAGGTTTTCATAGAGGGAAGATAACACCATACTCGTGTATAACACAAAATACAAACTCTGACTGTTGACAAAAGGTGACCTTGTAAGGTGAATTTTCTGATTAAAGAATAGTGAATGACAAAATTGAAGATACCTGAAACTGTGGATAGTCTGGGGCACTAAATACTGTAATCAGTTTCCCGGATGGGACAACATGATCTATAGTGTACCCCACATCCATTCCTCCAAGTCCAGGTCGCTTTTCCCTTGCATCTGGACCTTCATGTGACCTTATAATCAACTGAGGCAGCAACAATTGAAGACCAAAATGTTAGCAAGTTTCTCATTGTTAAAGGTTACAAAGGGAGGTGTTGAGCTCACATAAAATACAAGAACCTAAAGCTATGTGAACAACGTAATCGGAAAATACAAAGGATAGATGGAATAACTCTGAACATCGGAATTATTACTCAAGAGGCCTATTTCTCCCAAAAATATGTTTAATCCTTTGTGCTTCTTCACTTTTTCCTCAGTATTTAGGTGGTTAGATGCTCTGTTGATAGATACTTGCAATTTTTATTTATCAATACTTACGATTAAGATCTCATACCATTTTTAGCTTTTTTCTTTTTCTTTTTCTTTTTTCAATTAAACGATAGGACTACATTTATGGAAGAAAATATTATTTCTTTGAAAACAAAATTCCAGGAAAAAATGAACACTAGCGACTTATTACAGCTACAATGTCCAACAGAGTGTTATCTCATCCTTATTAAGCGATGTTGCAGCACGATAAAGCTAAATCTGAGTTGGTTTTGCCTTTCAAAATACAAGTAAATTCATCTCCAGAGGTTGTTCAGTATGTATCTCTAGGAAATATCTGGTGTCCAGCTACATTGGATTGACTATGTTGGAAAGAGCAAAGAACTTCAGGTATTAATGTGCACTACTATCTTTATGTACTAGTTTTTAGGAAACAACAACCAGATCATTGTCTTACGGGAAATTGCATGCTTTTCTTAGATTCTCAGTATAGCTATGTCTAAAACTTATGCGCTTGTAATTGGTTAACACTATAGCCTTGCAGCTAGATAGAGAGCAGTGCTCTCCTCAAGAAAAACATGCTACACCCAACCCCCTTCAGGTGGACGAGGATGAAAAGACTTTTCTGATTAACATTCAAAAGAGGTGCATCAACTCTTTGTAGGTCGCATAATTGACTACTACATCCAGGATTGCAGACTGATCCCAAAGGAGTCTTTCTCTATGGTTATGAAATCAGTTTGATTGAAAAGCAAGTCCATAATACCACAAGACGAAAGTAAGGGTGAGATGAGAGCCCTACAGGCCACAACCTAGGAGAGCACACTGTATTATATGAAAACATACGACCTTGTCCTATTATTAATAACCAAAGTTCGGAACTAAGGAAAGAACGTTACCCTGCACAGGAAGGATAGGACACACGCAAGAAATCTTATGTCATGACGACCTCTTAGAGTTGCTTGGATTGGTTATGCTAATTCTTCTTGTGAACTCAAAACATTCAGATAATTAATTAATTTCCATTTGAAAGTACACTGGATCATTTCTCTTGCCTGATAGTAGATTTTCTAAGTTCATCATACAGGTTGAAATGGCAATGAGATGAGCACAGAACTCCATGAGTATACACATCAGGCAACGACCCACCATTTGAAGAGTCAGTCATATGAGAAGAAAACTGATGGATTCAAATATTAAGTGACTTAATATGTTACAAAAAAAGTATATTTGAATTGTTATGACCAAGTTAAAACACATCAATGTAAAAATATGTCCCAGTGAAAATTTGGGGGGTAAGATAAAAAATAATTATAAAGCAACTGCAGTTTGTGAATCCTTTCCTGATGTACTCTCATGGATGGATGAATCAAAAACTGCAGGAACTAGCACAAAGGTTAACACCATGTTTGGTTCCAGAAAATTGAGGGGAGAGTAAAGGAAGAGAAAATAGCTGGTAGGAAGAGAAAATAGCTGGTTTCATTACTTAGGTGAGATATTAATCAATTTGCACCCAGTTGTCTGATAAGATTGGAAAGGTAAGAAGTGAACAAGAGTGGTATACTTTCTCCTTTCCATTTAGTTTCGGAAGGATTTAATAAGCCACCATGGAGGGGTAACAATTAAAAAAACTACCATGTAGGGGTACCTAAACCTTCCAATTTAACTCCACCTCTTCTTTTACTTCCCTTATATATGAGAAAAATCACCTTTGTTCCTCGACATGTAGCTGTCCTGGACTCCTGGTAAGTCGTAACCTTCTACTTACTCCTCAACTAAACATAAGTTAAAACAGAAGCTATTGAAATCTAATCCAAGAACTACACACTCAATGATTATATTCTGACAAATAGTACGTTCAATCACATCATTCAACCGTAAAACCGTCGAACAAGACACATTATATTGTATATGTTCATTCAGAAATGAATGATAAGAATGTACTATAAGATCTGGTTAAAGACAATTTAGAATTAACTTAGCGGCAGGGCGGTGTCAATAACAACAAGAAAAGAGCATATACAAAGAAATAAAAATTAGGCAGTATACCTTTAAGTTCAACGTCTTCAAAAACTCTTCCGTACAATCTGGACCCCATAAGAGACCAATTCCTCTGTCTTTATTCGGGGAAAGTCCGGGCTTCATTGATGGGTCTGACCACAAGACATCACCAGGTATCAAATTTGCACCTTCCCAAGGAGGATCAAGGACAGATCTCCTGGCTTTTAATAACTCCTCCAAAGAACCAAGAGATAAAGCACTTACTTCAGGATTCAAAACTATTTTGCGATTCTTCTTCCCTTTAGCTCTTTTCGCTGGAGTGACAGGAATGCTGCGGAAAATACCTCCATGTGCAGTATAGACCTTGTCACCAATAATGGAGGCAAGAGGAAGTCCTTCGAAGCATCCTAAACACTTCCTATAGACATGTTTCCCTCTGTCCGTATACTTGGCTAAAACTTCCTTTTCAAAACCATACACAGAGGTACAATATTTTGACTCGTGATTTCCACGAAGGAGAAACACCCTACTGGGCATAAAAACCTGAAAAACATACAGCTCCATTAAATATCCACTGTTGCATTTGTCTGATATCTCATAGGAATTCATATTCGAGGACCAGTTGAGTTCAAAGCCACAAACATCAAAATATCAAGAGTAAGGTGCTATAAACTCACAGCTGCTTGACGCATATCACTATCTCCCAGCAAAACAAGGTACAAGACTGAAGCAATATAACCAACGAAAATTCATTTTGATACAGCACTTTAGGAAGACAAAGGGTAATAAAACCTAACACAAAACTGAATATCCCTATTCTACATATTACCATGAATTGATATGAATTCTGGTACTTAATAGTTTACAGATCACCATCTCATTTTGCTTCAGTATTTTGTCGTTGTGCACCCTTAGAAATGTTAAATGGCGTTGTCATAGACAAAGTGAGAAAATATCTCTCTCTAAACAGAAGCTCCACAAGTTCTACAAGAATCTAACTCTCCATGCAAAGTGACCCCGTAAAGTGACACTCCTGATCAACTATCACTTTTGCTCATATAATTTCCATAAACAAACACACATATTTCTATCTTATCACCGAAACACAACTCGTAGCTACGTAATAAGCATAATAAAATTACTTTTCGCGGGTATGATAGCAGCATAATTAATCCGGATTACAAATATCTACCAAAACTGAGTTTCAAACTACATTACCTTAATAATATTCAGATTAGAAATAACTGTGTAAGTTACAACAATCAGCTAAAACCCTTGTTAAAAGAAGTTTTTTTTTTACCTTCCAAGCGAGCAATAGAAGGAAGGTCTCAAGACCCCAAGCTCCTCTATCAACATAATCCCCATTGAACACAAAGAACCGATCATCTGACGGAAAGCCCGCATCTTTTAACAAGAACATGACGTCATGCAACTGACCATGCACATCGCCTACCACCACAACCCTCGATTCCGGACCCAAACCCGACCCGCTATCGATACGTACACAATTGGGTTCTTTATGCAGCATCTTTGACGCCGTCAGTACGAGCCGATCAAAAGCTTCTACTGGTAACACCGATGGGAGCTCAGCCGGAGGAAGATTCTTAGATCCCCAATCGAATGCGAGCATTAGATTTGTAACCCAGGCTAGGGTTAGGGTCCCGTCTTGGGGCCATGAAATGGGTATCTGCGGATGAGGCTGTGGTGAAGGAATTGGAGTTAAAGGCGATGACGCGGAGGACGTTGAAGCCGCCGATGCTGACGAGAAAAAGTCCTCGTCGGATGACGGCGGTGGCGGCGTTTCTGATGGTAGACTGACGGCGGTGGCCGGTGGTTCTGGTTCGAGCATTTCAACTGGATGCGGATCTTTATATTCCTATTTTCTCTTTTCGTTTTAATTATGTTTGTTTAGGTTTTCAGTTCACAGAAGAAGTGAGACAAGAATAGAAAAGGAACTGTGCGAAGTAGTTTTGTTGACAGGGTATGTTCATGGGGAAACGAGAGAAGCCCAAATTTTGTATTAGTAATTAATGTGTTGGTGCTGCGTCATTGACAGCTCAGTTCGCCTGGTTTGCGATGCAACTCGCTATTCTTGAAACGGAAAAGGCCAAATATATATACTCTTAGAAAATATTTAAATATATTCCTCGTTATATCTTGAATTTGTATATATTTCTGTCGTAATACTATTGATTCAAATATATACCTATTTCGTTAAGTTTGTCCAATATGAACATCCAATCCTACATGACACAGACATTTGATGAGGTAGATACCACGTGACATCCCACCCTAGCCCGCTTAACCCATTTTACCCCTCCCCTCAATTTCTTTCCTTCCACCATCATTATTGTTTTACCAAAAAAGTGTTAAACCTTTTCTTAAAACGAATTAATAAGAAAATAAAGGATAAATCATAGCCAAGTATAATTAACTCTAGATCAAAGAATATTGAGTAGGAAAAATAGGATATAGTTAAGCTCATGAACTCTTTAAGATTGTAAAAGGTATCAAATGTATATGACGGGCTTAAATTCTTGACACTACTATTCTGTACTGTAAAATAAAGAAGAAAAAGAAGGTGCACCATTAACAGCTATGAGATCTATCTTTATTGATTCCATAATGGTGATTACAAAGATCAGTAGCCAAGTTCTAAACTTTCTCTTGTTTTTCCTCAGAAACATTCTCCCGTTCTTCTGTGTTTAGAGAGAAAGAAAAATCCCCCTTTCAAATTCTCTTACCTAGTATTATATATAATAGGTATTCCCCTTTACCCAATGGTCCTTAGCCAGAATACCCTAATCTGCCAATTGCACTTTAGGTCGACCTCCCTAAGTGCCATGGTGTGTACTTCACCATACAGGCTTTCTGATGGTTCGACCTTGATCGTGGCCGAGATGCTCTTCGTTATGGTGTTTTATGAATACAACCACGACTTAATCGACCCCTCGCCATTCCTTTTTGTACCGATTCTTGTGTGGTCAGATTTCGATCCATATAGTTAGTCTATCCGCCTATTGAGGTCGTCTTTGGGCGAGCTTGATGGGCGGACTTAGTCAATAAGAAAACTTTTGAGAAATCTGAGCGTATTGGGCGATGTGCGAGCACCTCTTAGCGAAATGATGATGTGACATTTTGAGTGCTTCGTCATACTACTATGTCAGTTCGAAATGACATTAAATTCGTCAAGCGTCATTATGGCACACGTTCTTTGTGTGTTGCATCATTTCTCGTGCCCCTTCCATTATTTTTGAAAAAAGGCAGCGATTGGTTTCTTAAACGAGCATATCCATATCTTTTATAAGTAGGAAAAAGTTTCCCATTCGAATGTAGTGTTTCCCAATCGTTTACAAGACAATCTTAGGGCATTCTTCCTTCTTCTTCAGTTCTTCGTATTTATTTTTCTACCAACAATCCTCGTGGTTGTTACCCTACTTTCTTTACACTCCCGACCTATACAGTCACCCGAAGTGATGGTTAGTGCTTCTTCTAACCCTGATCGAGTTGTTGGTGCTCCAGTACCGGAAAACGATATACCTCTACTCGAAGAGGGGGTGGGTCTGGCAGAGGAAGAGAGTTTTCCGATGGTAGATGAGGTGGTTCCCCACCCAGGGAAGGCAAGGAGGAACTTCAATTGCCCTGCTAAGAATGAGCTGGAACCTGTTCTTTCTACGATGGATGTCGCGACACTCGCGGTATTTAAAGCCAAATGGAGAATACCTGAGCATATCGAATTCGTTTCAGCGGGTTTTGACATTGTGCATATACACTGCCCATGATACTGCACTTTCTATGCATACCCTTTTGTCATCAGATACACGCTTCCCCTCCCTTCTCTGGCAGCGGATTTTTACCGCTTCTACGAGGTGTGTCTGGCTCAACTCTCCTCTTATATGCAAACTCTTCTTAATGCGCATCAAATACGTGGAGCTGGCCAATCGGGGGGTTTCTCTCCAACACCTACTTCATATCTTCGTCCCCAGCTTCCATAGGGGCACCATGCTACATCTTTGACACCGAGCCACTAAGGGCCTGGTGGTGAAGCTGGATGACAAGACCAACCGCCGATTTTGGGAAAACTACTTCTATGTCCGCACAGACCACGTTGTGTCTTACCCCGTTGGGTACCCCGAGGCGTAGGATTTCTCCCGTAGGCCTTTCTTTTCATCTCTTTTTTTTTTAAAAAAAATGGTTGTCGGTTGTTTTCCTCTAGCGATCTCGTTGAGTTTTTATTTTTGCTGCCGAGAGACTACCCCCTCCACAAGTTGCTGATATTCGCGGGTGATGAGCTCGATTCTACCTCATACGATGGGAATTCGAGAATGGGCACCCTTTCACGAGAGGTTTGGGTGCAAACCTTCCGCAGGTAAGTCGCCTTGTCTCGGTCTTAGTTATCTAGTTCTTTGCTCTGTATTTTTCTTTGCCTTACATTTTCATTTGGTCGAATCTTTTATTGGCAGGTCGGAGAGGGGCGAGAAGGGTGAGGGATCCCGCTCTTACTTTCCATCAGTCGGCCTCTTTTGCCAGGCCCGTGCTAGTGGCAACTACGGATGAGGGCGTCCAGAATCTGGCTATTCTGCAAATCGCGTCCGCATCCAGATCTGGTTATTCAGAGGCTGCTCCTCGGTCGGACACTCAGGTCCCCACGATTCATTTGGCGAACAAACTTTCTCATGGTGATGGTGAAGAGGCTCCGTCAAAGAGGCATAGGATAATGTCGAAGAGGATGCTTTTGATCGAGGCATCCTCGGGGGTGATCCTGTTTTGGCAGTGTCTGAAGCCGGTGGTGATACCAGCCTAGGTATGGAGTCGATGCCCGTTTCGGGCGAGCTTCCATGGTAGGGGGCAGAGTTTGGAGGCCGCCACGATTGTTTCGAGTGGTCCATCGACGTCTCGGCAGGCCTGTACCCCCTCTTCGGTTGATGCGAGGTTGAAGGATGTAGTGGTTGATGATTATGAATCAGACTTTGACATTGATCCTGAAGATATGAGGATGTTCGAGGAAGGTTTTACCAGGGTCGATGTGAGGCGGAAGGTCCTTTCCATGTGCTCGAAATCCCGTCGAACTTTAACCTGTTGGAGGACATGGTGGACTTGGTGCCCCAATTTGACCTTCTGTGCTCCGCCACCGAAAGCAGGTCTCTCCGAGAGATTAGCGATTCCGGTTTGTCACGCAGTGTGGCTGGGATGGCCTTGAGGGTGAGTTTTCTTTTGCTATTTTCTTTGTTTTATGCCATTTTCTTTATCTGATTCTTCCTTTTTTCCTCCTCTGACTTACATGCTGGAGATCGAGAGTGCTCATTGGGCTGAGACGCGGGTCAATGTCTTTATGAAAATGGCCCCAAAGTATCATCGGTATCACAACAGGTGAGGTGAGATGCACTCACAGCTTAGGGCGAGTGGTAATACTCGATCCCTTAGGGAGGAGTTAGAGAAGAAGGACAAGGATTTGGTGCGGCCTATCCGCAAATGTAGCGAGCTCGAGGGGTTGCTCATGGTTAAAAACGAGGAGCTCGAGGTAGGCAAAGAGGTTGTAGCGGAATGCGAAGATCTCTAGGTGAAGGTGTTATCTTTGCGAGCCGAGCTTGAGCAGAATGCCACTAGAGTTGCTAGTCTAAGTGTATAGTGGACGGAGAAGCTGGCTGAGCTAAAAAGGAAGATGGCCGAGTTGGAGAGAGCCGAGGAAGCTAGAGTGGTGGCTTTGGTGAGTGCAGCGGCACTGGAAGACACTATTCGCGTCCTCATGTCGGAGCGGGAAGCCGAGAGGGCGACGACCACACTAAGGGAGGCAAGGCTCAAAGAGCGGATCTGTGAGGTCGAGCGGAATGCCTCGAGCTTGGGAGATCAAGTTGTGGCTCTCAAGGTCGAGAAGGCACAGTTGTTGGCTCAAGCCCTCCCTCAAGAATCTGCCCTGTTGCTGTCCCCCGCCATTTATACGAGCTATTGATACCCAATTTTTTCCTATATATTTTTAAATATACATAAATACCTTCAAATAGCATATATATGCATATATAAGCATGCATAAGGTTTTTATAATTTTTCCCATAATTTTAAGGGTTTAAATTGATTTATTTTATCCCCTTTTATTCATAAAATCCCCAATAATTATTTCTAAAATTATTTTTATGATGATTTATTCATTTAATTTCTATAATTATGCCAAAATATGACTAATATATTTTTTTTGCATTTTTTATAATTACATTTATTATTTTAACGCTAAATTGCATATAATTGCAATGTTAGTCTATTTTAATGTATAATTATATTATGTATGCGTAAAATTGATCCCTATATTTTAAAAATGATAATTATATGTTTTAAATCATTTTTGTATAGAAAAATTATTTTCAGAAAACTATTTATTATTTATTATAATTAAAATGGGTAAAGTGGCTATTTAAATTATAGCTAGATAAGGCTTTCAATTTTAGCCTAATTTTAACCCAACCCCAGTCCAATTCCTAATGATATTACCCGACCCAGGCCCCAATTACCCCTACCCGACCCAAAGCCATATTAAATCCTGGCCATTGATCTACAAGATCAACGACCCTCATTTGCCCTTTCCTTTTTAATTTCAAACGACCCCCCAACCCTAGGTCATTTCCCAAACCTATCACCTTTGAATTCTTTGGTCTTCTCTTTTCTCTCAACCTAACCCTAGCCTTCTTCAACCACCGCCTCCCTCTCCAGTCATCTCCGGCGATCACCTTTCAACCCCAAGCCTCCAATGGTTCCTCCACGGCCTCTCATCATCTCTGAGGCCTTCAAGGGCCCTGAGCCATGCCGACTTGTATCTAGAGTTGCTGTTTTGGTTGTTCATGGTTTTCACCTACACCCCGTAAAGGGGCGTAGAAGGGAGTTTTTCCAATTAAAGGACAATCGAAACGGGATTTTATTTAAAGATNATATTTAATACATACATTTAACGAGGGCCACACCATTTATGTGTTTATCCAGCGAGGCTCATCTCGTTTATTTTTAAAAGGACCATCCTAAAGCGGCTACATTCTTCTACTTTTGTCCGTCTCTAAAAATGAAAGAATATTAATCAATTACTG